ATGCAACTGATTGAATTTGATGTTATCTTAATACTTAATATGTAATCAAATAAAATATAACTATTACAGTTCATATTAATTTTTTTTTTTTTGTTGAATGTGTATAATGTTTGACTGATTGGCAATGTTGTCACAGTGAAAAATCCATATGGAAAGAAGCAAATCTCAGATCAAATATGCATCTAATTAAAAGTGGAGTCAATGCCTTTCTAATAGGCAATAGGTAGTCAATCAAGGGGAAAAAAATACATACTATGGTAGTCAATGGGGATTGAGATCTGTTTGATTAAAACATTCTTCCAAATATCTTCCTTTGTGTTCAGCAGAACAAATATACACATAGAGGTTTGGGAAAAAAATTTCATTTTTGGGTGAACTAACCCTTTAAGTGCCATAGAGTCAATGCAGACTAAACATGGGTTTAATTTTATTTTTTGTTAAATAAAAAAAAGAGTATTTATGGAGTATTTACTTATTAGCATTACTAATTTGTTATTGAAGCTTTTTTTTTTTTATAATAAATCTAAAAGCAAAACATGAAAGAAACTAGTGGCAATGGCAAATAGAGTGGTTCAGGTGACATCACTTTGTAGAGTTTAGCATTTTAGCACTTCTGAATCCATTGTGCCGAAGCAATGGGTTTTTGAATGGGGTTTTGGTTGTACAAAATGTGCAAGTATCATAAACTTTTGTTAATTACAGAGCTTATTTTAGCAATAATTCAAAAGCCTGTTAAGTTTTTGAGGGAACCAGTGTGATGCGAACTGCTGGTTGGCCTACAAAGTGACATCATCCTTGAGCGAACCAGTCCTCTGCTGCCATCTACTGGTTATAGTGGGCGTTTCATGATGTCATTTTCATGTTAAAGGTCTTTGTTTTCATCTAGGGAACAGAAATCTTCCACTAAACTAAAGCATGGAATATTTACCATAACTCCAGGAATGAAAAAGAGAAATGTAGACTAGATCTTCTTTGAACTCAATTTAGTCTATCTCTTTAAGAGGTAAAAGATAATAAAGTGTTTAAAATAGTAGGTTACATGTGTTTAAGTATATATATATATGTAACCCCTCCACCCGGGTACAACTTGACCCGCTCCGAGCGGGCCTTGAACCCGGGTCTCCGGCGTGAGAGTCGGGCGCTCTAACAAGGAGGCTAAAGACTGCAGCCTCTTATCTGTCGCTAGAGCGCCTTTTAAAACCAGGGGAGTGAGGTTTACTCGCACAACAACTACTAGCTGGCCTCCGTTACACTCACCCCCCTAAACCTCACTCTCATCCGGGTCACGGCACCAATGTAACCCCTCAGACCCGGGTTCGAGGCCCGCTCGGAGCGGGTCGAGTTGGATATATATATATATATGAAACTGGGGTCTAAATATCCCTAGTATGCACCATAGACAAATCAACCTCCATGAGTGAAGATAAAACCATTCAGCATTTTATCATCTTTCAGATATCTGAAAAATAGCTGTTGTGACGATGCGAGTAATAATACTGATCTGTGTATAGTCAATTAATTAATTTACCTTAATTATCATTTTTGGAACAGATGTGACTTTGGAGACGCTCTGAAGTGTCAAAGCTGTCAAAGTGTTTTTTTTCTGTTTAAAGTAGTTTCTCTCTTATAGTTTGTCATTTATTTGGTCGTTCACAACTTATATTTCGTCTTTGGGACTGAAAACTCGTTATTTTACCTCGTTAAAAATACTACTTATTTTTTAATAAGCTGAAACAGGTTTGATATGATATGATGTTGGTATGTTTTTATATGTTTATGTTTGCATAGTGACGATTTAATAAAAAGTGAGAGATTGTGGCTTGATTTCTTTTATTATTCATTTATCAGGACCAAAATGATATTCTGCACAGTGAGGAGCCTATGGTTACAAGCTTTACATATTAGAAAAATAGCTACAATTAAAAATAAAAATTTAAAAAAAAAAACACATTTTTATTCGCTAGTTGTCAAGGTTGTTTCAGATCAACACCTGCAAGTGACCACTAGGTGTCCCAGTGGAGAAGGGTGTCAGATCAATTCGAAGCCTCGACACAATATGGCACATTTGGTTCAACTGTTTCATTGCTTCACGAAGCCTCGAGCTGCCCGTCACTACACATATAACAGAAGATGGTGATCTTGTAAAACCTATATTTTAAAAGTAAAATGTTTATATAGAAATTACAACGAATAAAAACTAACAAAAAGCAAGAAATTATTAAATTATAAAACCAATATTAAAAAAAGTAACAGTCTGTTATAATTCATAAATCAAAAAGTAAACATTTAGAATTTCACAAGAATGGAGTAAAATAAAAATTAAAAATAAAACCATTTATTGTGCTATATTGCCTCGGTGTGGATTGAACAAGATGCTGAATCCAAAGTCTCCAATACAAACTTTTACTAATAACACAAACAGACACACACACACACACACACACACACACAGTAACGAGGTGAGGACAAGGCCTACTGTTTAAATGAATACATTGTTAACTAACTTTGTGATTTGTATATGTACATTTCTGAAATACATAACGTGCAGAAAGTCTCCTCTGTAAACTGTAATGTGGACTCAAGTATTTTCTGTAACGCTGCTTTAAAACGATATGCATTGTGAAAAGCACTATACAAATAAATGTCAATTGAATATTAATAATAATAATAATAATAATGAATGAATATAATGAAAATACCCTGCAATATATTTGGCTTACTAAATGTATATATACTTAAAATCTGCTAAATTGAAAAAAAAAAAAAAAAAAACTTCAATATACTTAAGTATATTGATTGTGCTAAAGTGGAACTTTAAAGACTGATATTATAAACATATCATACAATCATTATTGATAGTAATATTAAAACACATTTTAGGCATAATCATAAGAAATGTGTGTTTATTGGAGCCCACTGAAAAAATAGATTTGGTTTTTGTAATGACATAAGGGAGAGAATACATGACGACAGAATGTTTATTTTGGGTGAAATGTCCCTTGTCTTGTTGTGAAATAATGTGAAATAACTCTTGTGAAGTGGTTACTTAAACTTTCAGGACACATTCATATCTCAGGTCATCTTTGCTGCAAACAAGTTTCCTCAAAGTGTTTGACTGCTTGGTGAATGATTGTGTTAGTAACAATGCAAGTTATAGAAAGATGTGTTGAAACCTGCTCCTAGTCCCGACGGCAGATCGTATCTCCATCTTCCCCCTGTCAGGATGTTTATGTGATGTTGAATATGAAGTTCATCTGGTTCAGGAGTGACTGTGGCCATAGTTGGACTCTGGAGTTATAGTTATTGTAGTGATTGATGGTTAGGCGAGGCTGACCTCTGCTTATCTGGTGACTTGTTAAAAAAATACTTCAACTCTTGCATATTTTTGCATGCATACTTGAACTCAGACCTAAACTTTTATTAGAATACTTATATTACTAAACAGACTCTTGAATTATTATTTTTTTTTTGAGTTTGAGTTTAAAGAGTTTATCATGGGATATCATCAGTTGCATGGCCTAATGGCAATTGCAGTTACATTACCAGGTGAAAATATTGTACATACAGCTTTCATGAAACAAAATGAAAATAATAATAGTTGGCCAAATCGTGTGCATGATTTACAGGCCTGCTGGCGCTGACAGCACATTCGGGAAGCTGAATTATGCCATCGATCCAGGTTCTTCAATTGTGGAGCTTAAATATCAGGATTAGAAAATACAAACAGTGAGTCGAAATCTGTGCTTTTGAACGGTTGTAAATGTACGTCCCTGGCCCAAATCCCCATCGAGACAGCGACTCAGTCCAGCTAGTGGAATTTCACAAGTGACATGATGGTTTTCTAGTTATTTTTGTACTCAAATAATTTTTTGTGACAGTGTAAAATGAATACATCTATGTATGTAAAGCCACAATGCACATAACATCACACAAAGATATAGAATAAAATATAAAAACAATTCGGATCAATAAAACTAAGAAATAACATAAATAACTGCAGAAAGGCCACACTGCAGACAGGATTTGCAAAAAAATATTTTCAAGATTTGTTATCACAACATATTTTCTTTTGTCAAATCAACTTTATAATAATTTATTTAGTTGAGATAACTTATTTTGAGTTTCTGATGGTTAAATGAATCTGCTTCATTGTATTAACTCACTTTTTCCAGTTCAATCAACTTAAAATGTTAAGGCAACCCAGGTTACTTACTTTTTTAAATTAAACCAACAATATTTTTTTACAGTGTAGTTATCACAACATATTTTCTTTTGTCAAATCAACTTTATAATAATTTATTTAGTTCAGATAACATATCATTTTGAGTTTCTGATTGTTAAATGAATCTCCTTCATTGTATTAACTCACTTTTTCCAGTTCAATCAACTTAAAATTTTAAGGCAACCAGCTTACTTACTTTTTTAAGTTAAACCATCAATAATTTTTTACAGTGATATATGCAAATCAATGAAATCGTCTGAATTGCCTGTGCGAGCAAACTCTAAGTACAGCGCAACATCGATGCACCGAAAAAATAAACAATTACTTTACAGAATTAAGTTAGAACAGAATATACCTTTCTAATAAATAAAATTGCAAAATGAAATAAGTCAGAATCAAAAAAATATTTGGTCCAAAAATAACAAAAACTACGACTTTATTAAACATTGCATTGTGTTCCGGTTCTGTTGTCTCAGCTTTTTAATCAAAATGCTGCTTTATTATTAATATCCACATTCAAGTGTTGATAAAATAGAATGCATTAAGCTAGAATAAAACTGGAGAGAGTTGGTTCTTTCTTTTGATATTTTGCATGTTCAGATATCCGTACATATTCTGGGGGCCATGCACATTTTGTGAAATGGTCAAAAGAATTCAAAAGATTGTGTTGGGTGAGTTGGAGGGAGGAATGACACTGTCTTGGGGTAGGGCTGGGCACGATATTGTTATCCGCATCAAATCAGTAAAGCCGGTTCTGTTCCTTGATTAGCAGTAAATCACCTTGGGGTGTTTTAGGTGTGTTTTAAGTGTGATTACACTAACTCGGGGTGTGTTTTAGGCACTGCATGTCCCCTTCAGAGCTCTATTTAAGCAGAAGACTCTCCAAACACGTCTCACTTTTCCAGCTTTGACCAGACGAGCTGCTCTTGAAAAGACTTTCAGACTGCAGTCATTCATGTAAGTATACTATCACTCAAAGGCACTTGAATTAAGATAGCTTATTAACAGTTTCTATTACTTTGCATACGATTATCCAACTATCACAGTCTTCACACCGCTGTGCATAGCAAGAGTTCGTGTTTTGGCATGCTGTTTAAATGCAAAAATCTTATGTGCATATTACACTAGTGGTGTTTTAATACGAGGAGGCAAAAGCTTTTTTTTTTTTTTAGATAGCCTACTGTATATCAAATGTAAATGTAAGTCTGTTACACCTAATTTTCCTGGTTATTAAAGGAGTAGTTTACTTTAAAAAAAACTTTTGCTGATAATTTACTCACCCCCATGTCATCCAAGATGTCCATGTCCTTCTTTCTTCAGTCGAAAAGAAGTTTAGGTTTTTGATGAAAACATTCCAGGATAAGGGTCTTCTCTAGCGAAACTATCTGTCATTTCAAAAAAGAAATAAAAAAAGTTTAAGTTTGATAAGCTCAAATGCTCGCCTTGCTCTGTTCTGTGCATTTTTTTCGTGACTCTCCTGTTCGAACTCGTTCATCAGAATGAATTTTTTTTTTCGAGTCATTTCGTTCATTTTATTCGTTGAATGAACCAAATGAATCAAAAAAGATTTGATAATTTTGATGAACGAGTTTAAATAAACATTACATAAAAAAGAGAGACCAAATACAATACAATTCTATTTATACATTTTTGCTATAACTATGTAAATTTATGTTTATTAAAACCAAGTAGAAATGTAATCAAGTTAAGTGTTTTTGCACATTTTTACTTTTATTCCAAAATAATAAAGGCAGTAAATATTTAAACAACGTATATTATTTGTGAACTGTTCACTTTTTCATTAGATTTCCCATTGACATCATCATTGTCTTCATTCAGACCGATTAGAGAATGTGCACGAAAACAAGAAGCAGGATTTATTAAACAAATCATATCCAATCATAACCATTTATATCCATTTAAAGCCCGATTTAGACATTAGACTTGTTCGACTTTATACAGCTGACTTGAAGGATACTGGCTAGAAATTTTACCCGACTCGAGACATCGCCGACGCCACGTGACTGACATGTGCCATCAAAGTACCGCGAGAGCGATTCGAGAGCTGCTGGCTGGTCGTTAACGGTTTTCGATATTTAAGCAAAGGTTGTTTGAACACTTAATCACAACATTGCACAAAACATAATGGAAAACCTAGCGTGGTACCCGTCAAGGATTCAGGAATCTAAGGAGATGACTCCCGTGAAAATAAGTCAACCAAATCCAAAGTTATAAGCATGTGAACATTTGATTTTACCACTGGGTGGCGCTGGCTTGAAACTTCTCAGGCTCCCTCAGTGCATCGTGCCAATGATCCATATTACGTTTTGTAACGCAATAATGCATTCATAAAATTACCCATTTTACCACATAATTCAAATTTGCTGATATCATTAGACTCGGCATGCCGCCCCGAATCTAACGAGACCATTTTAGGTTTTTGGGGCAAACAGTTTAGAAGTTATAAGCAAAAAAGCCCATTTTGCATATGTCCGGACCAGTAGGTGGCACTGCACCAAAACACAGCATGAGTTATACTTGTGATGGCAAATACCAAGTTTGGTCTCTATAATTTGGCTTTATGCACAGCTGCACTACTTCCTGAACTTAAAGGGATACTCCACTTTTTTTTGGAAATAGGCTCATTTTACAACTCCCCCAGGGAGTTGTAAAATGAGCCTATTTCCAAAAAAGTGCAGTATCCCTTTAAGCCAGCTCCTTGTTTACAGTCTGCCATTATTGGAGAAAGTGATTAATCCAGGACCTCAGTAGTCACGGCAACAATAATCAGACACACCTGAATTAATCAAGTTTGGCCAATAATGGCAGACGGGAAACAAGGAGCTGGCTTAAGTTCAGGAAGTAGTGCAGCTGTGCATAAAGCCCATTGTTGCAGAGTATTAGTACCACAACTTTTTTGCAAACATTATGTTAAACATGTGCATGCATTAAAGGGATAGTTCACCCAAAAATTACATTTAGCCCATAATTTACTCACCCTCACGTCATTCTTGGTGTATATGACATTCTTCTTTCAGACGAATACAATTGGAGTTATATAAATCAAATGTCCTGGCTCTTCCAAACTTTGTAATGTCAGTGATCGGCCAAATTTGCCCTTTTGTCCGTCATGGCCTCTTAATCATTCCTATATACCGATTGGCTTCATCACTGTCTCCTCTCCGCAAAAAAGCTGGTGTGTGGTGTGCGTTCTTGCACAATATGGCTGCCGCCGCATCATCCAGGTGAATGCTGCACAATGGAGGTGGTTGAGGAGATTCCCCCTTCCATGTAAAGCGAAATGAGTAGCCAGAAAAGCGCTATATTAATGTAACAAATTATTATAAATTAAAGGTAAGCAAACTCAAATCCAAAAGCTGCTTGGACCTGTATTTGTTTAAACCCTGGAAACACCAAGCGGACGGTTTAGTTCAGCGTTTAACATTTACCGCTTGAATGACAAAAATAGACTATTGAGACCTGTTGATGAGTCAGATACTCCAATACCCCAAATGGATAGGTCGATTAATTAATAAATCAATCGTGTACTGTTGTTCTGTCTCCAGAAACTGGGTTGGGAAACACTGCAATAAAGTGTAAAGCTGATGTTGATTCTGATCTGTTATTATTTTCAGATCGATTTAATTCCAAGATGTCCGACACAATGAATCTAGAGCTTATTGGTGGACAAGGAGGTAATGCATTCTCATTTACTGGTGAGAACAACGGTGCCAGTTTAGAGAAGATCGGAGTCTGGTTGGGAGAATGGCAGGTGAAGGCTGTCAGGGTCTGGCTTTCAGATGGGAGAGTCGAAACCTTTGGAGTCGGTTCTGGACCGTATCAAGAGTTCAAGTTCACTCCTGGTGAGTGTTTCACCTCACTGTCCCTGTGGGGGAACGGAGCAGGAACACGTCTTGGAGCCATCAAATTCAGGACCAGTCTGGGGAATGAGTTTTTTGCAAAGATGACAAGCTGGGGTTTAAAAACCGAATATCCCATGGATGTCGGCTCTGGGTATTGTTTGGGAGTTGTAGGAAGAGGTGGTTCTGACATTGACGCCATGGGATTCTTGTTTCTCAAAGCAGTTGAATCAACAGTTCTCACCGATGTCCACTATCCCACTATCCACCAACTGATACCAAAGGTGGCAGTAGAAGAAATCAAATCCCTCAGCTTCAGGAACGACTCCTCCACCACTCAAAAACAAAAAGTTGAAAGCTCAAAGAAAATAACTAAGACATCTTCATGGTCTGTGAGTGCAAGTTTATCTTCAACATTTAGTATGGAAGTGCAGGCTGGGGTTCCAGGGCTTGGTGAAGTTACTGCAGGATTCAGTGTCACCTTGGGAATTGAAAGCTCTTATAGTCAGCAGCACTCAGATGAGAGAACCGAAACTCTGTCTACAGATGTAGATGTGCCACCAGGGAAGAAGCTGGACGTTTCCGTCACCATTGGCAGAGCCAGTTTTGACCTGCCATACACCGGCACAGTGAAGATGACCTGCAAGAACGGCAGTGTGTTTGCCTATGGAACCAAGGGCACATACAAAGGCGTCACTTACACTGATATCAAAGTGGAGACCAAGGAATCTCCTCTGTAATGTCAAGCCAGATTGCACATGGAATGCACACGTTGCAATATATCAGTTGCTTTACATATAGGCCTCATTGTATTTTTGGTGTGGTGTTTGGGTTTTCAGGGGAAATATTCAATATTACTACTGTCACCTTTGGTCTTGTCTTCAAATAACCTTATATAATACCAATAGAAATATAGTCATATAGCTTCATACTTTTTGTAATCACTTAAAAATAATCTTAAAATATAAACCAGACTGATTCTGTAATACTGTGTTTAAAATGAAATTGAATAAACAATACTTTACAATTTGAAATAAACCCTGTGTTGCAATGGTTGCATTTTTTTCACTCTAATTATTTTCATATTTTCATTACTTTTCTCTATTGGGTGAACATTTCAGCAACATGAGTCTTTACACCAGACCTTAAAAGTGACAAAATGTGCTTAAATCATATAGTTGTAACTTTAATGTGCTCTTTCTATTTGATTTGACCCTTAAAGTAACTTACTTTAAGTAACTCTTCTAGCATGTGTATTTACCTCTGTCAGCTGTGTTGTTGATGCCATGAGAGAAAGGAAAGTGTAGAGCGTGAAAGCACCAAAGTGACTGAAGGATTGCCGTAAAGACGAGTCGGGTCCTCCTGGACCACCGGCTTGAGACCCTCGAAGTCGGGTCCTCCTGGACCACCAGACTTGAAACCCCCGAAGTCCGATTCTCCTAGACCACCGGACTTGAGACCACCAAAGTCGTGTCCTCCCGGACCACCAGACTTGAAACCCCTGAAGTCGGGTCCTCCTGGACCACCGGGCTTGAGACCCTCGAAGTCGGGTCCTCCTGGACCACCTGGCTTGAGACCCACGAAGTCAGTTCCTCCTGGACCACCGGACTTGAGACCACGAAGTCGTGTACTCCCGGACTATCAGACTTGAAACCCCCAAAGCCGGGTCCTCCTGGACCACCGGACTTGAGACCACAGAAGTAGTTTCCTCCCGGACCAACGGGCTTGAAACCCCTAAAGTCGGGCCCTCCTGGACCACCGGGCTTGAGACCCTCGAAGTCGGGTCCATCTGGACCAGCGGGCTTGAAACCCCTAAAGTCGGGCACTCCTGGACCACCAGGCTTGAGACCCTCGAAGTCGGGTCCTCCTGGACCACCGGACTTGAGACCACCGAAGTCAGGTCCTCCCGGACAACCGGGCTTGAGACCCGATCCGGGCCTCCGAAATAGGGGAAGCAACTTGTGGGAAAGGGAGCCTCGTGGCGGTGTGGAAATAACCGCCTCTGAAGACGCTGCCACAATAGCTGCCACTTCATGGTGGATTCCCTTAACGATCCAGGGAATTAACAAATTCCCCAAACGTCAAATGCTCCAGCCCTCTCATTCTCCAGTAGTTGCTGGGCTCATAAAGGTATAACTAAACAAGACCTTTAGAGCCACATCCCCAATTGTATGGTGCAAAATCTTCAGTTATCTTGAAGTAATCCAATTTGTGACAGATTTGGTCATCAGAGATGAAATTGTCAGCCAATCCATTCAAAAGACCTTGAGAAAAAAGTGGCTATGTTATGAATATACAGATTTCCCGCTGTTTGCCCATGATAACTCTTTTTCTACATTGGTTCTTTATTTGTTTTAAAAAGCAGACTTAATATCCATCTCTGGTCATAATTTGGAGATCAGCAACCCCACATTTCCCACCATCCCTCCTAGTCCCCACCAGCGCTCAGTCAGCTATCACCTGCTACAGATCATCACCTGTATGTAGTGGTTGTTCTTCTACGTTGTGTCTTCACATTTTTATGTTAATAAAAGGATTTTCCACACAAATCTGGTCATGCTTAAGGTGACTTTAATGGCAGTGCCTGTGTGGGTAAACAGATAAACAGAGACTGATATCAGCAACTCTTTGCATTATTTACCTCTCCTCTATAGTGTCAATGCAGGAAAGAGTGCACACACATACTTTACAACACACATTCGTTATATAGCATAAAAAGCGCCGTGAGTAATACCAGTCAACAAACGTGGTAAGAATAAGTCAACAAACACGGTGAGTAATGTCTTGTCCTGTTATTGTCACCGGTGTCACATGTTTAGTATAGCCTTCTCTGATGGCAATATAGGATTTGTATGTGATAAATGCAAGGAGACAGTCAGGCTGATGGAGAAGTTTTCCAAATTAGAGACACGCATCCAAACTTTAATTGAGGATAGTAAGAAAGCTAGATCTTTAGATAGTGTTTCGGATGCGCCTAGCGTAGTGAACACTTCACATGATTCGGTTCCGGCTGAAGTAGAGCCTGTGCAGCAGGGCAGATGGGTGATGGTTAGGGGTCGCCGATAAACTGAGAATAACTGATTAAAATAATAGAATATATAATCTACACTGAACACAATCATAAATGTCAGTCGCGTCGCGTGGGTTACAGCTATTTTCTTGCATCTTGAGAAGTTCGCAGGAAACAACGGAGACAACGAAAATATGTTGCGGGACTATCGTTAGCAAACTACAGTAATTTTAGCGATTTTTATTTTTTTTTACAAACGTTTCTGTGAAGAAACTGACCGTAAATATGAACACAATATTGAATGTAACATAAAGCAAATCATTATTTGTCGTTATAATACTTATTAAAGCCACAAATACTTAAATTTATGGGTCTCCTTTGTCGCTTGGGCAGCCAGCCTGGGTTAGCAGTGACACTTCTCATACCCCTTCGTTTGTAGTGTGCTCCCGAAAAATCTTCTTTTGAAGGGCTATCTGGCCCTTCACCCTAGCCCTCCCCCTCCAACCAAAAGAGAATTGGGACAGCCCTACCCCTTCACGTGGACGCGCAAAACGGAGGGGAAGGGGAAAGTGAAGGGGTAAGGGGTAGAATTGGGATTGGCCCTTATTCTATGTACACACAAGGCATATTTCTCTCAAATATTGTCCACAAATCTGTCTAAATCTGTGTTAGTGAGCACTTCTCCTTTGGTGAGATAATCCCTCCCCCTCACAGGTGTGGCGTATCAAGATGCGGATTAGACGGCAGGATTATTGCACAGGTGTGCCTTAGGCTGTCCACAATAAAAGGCCACTTTAAGATGTGCCGTTTTACACACAGCACAATGCCACAGATGTTGCAAGTTTTAAGAGAGTGTGCAATTAGCATGCTGACTGCGGGAATATCCACCAGAGCTGTTGCCTGTGAATCGAATGTTCATTTCTCTACTATAAACCGTCTCTCAGAGAATTTGGCAATACATCCAACCGGCCTCACAACCACAGACCACATGTGACCACACCAGCCCAGGACCCCCACATCCAAGATCGTCTGAGACCAGCCACCCGGACAATCGGTTTGCATAACCACAGTATTTCTGCATAAACTGTCAGAAAGCGTCTCAGGGAAGCTGATCTGCATGCTCGTCATCCTCATCGGGTCTCCACCTGACTCTTTGTAAACGACGTGAGTGGGCAAATGCTCACATTCGATGGCGTCTGACACTTTGTAGAGGTGTTCTCTTCACGGATGAATCCCGGTTTTCACTGTATAGGGCAGATGGCAGACAGTAAGTGTGGTGTCGTGTGTGTGTGAGTGGTTTGCTGATGTCAGCGGTAAGTGGCCCATGGTGGCGGTGGGGTTACGGTATGGGCAGGCGTATCTTATGGACCATGAACACTAATGGCACTTTGAATACACAGAGAAACCGTGACGAGATCCTGAGGCCCATTGTTGTGCGACTCATCCACTACCATCACCTTATGTTTCAGCATGATAATGTACAAACACGATTCAGTCAAGAGCGAGCGAGTTTCACACTGATAAAAAGTTAGGTCTGAATGCAAATGAATTCAAAACTATACAAAAGGATTAACGAGAAGTAGATGTTTTTAACTAGTTGTTGTAATTTGGAAAAGTGATATTCCAAAGGAATTATTATTTTTGTTTAGTTTCAAGAATAAGCCAACACAACGTTTAAGTAGTTTACGTTCCTAAGCCCAGGGGTGACTGACAAAGAAGAGTTGTGCAACTTTCATTAAAAACTGCAATGGGAACTAATTCCAAATTCCTGGAATGAGCCCCAACATGCCAAATATTTGTTTTTTTAACAGCCATTCCCCCCCCCCTCTCTCTCTCTCTCTCTCTCTCTCTCTCTCTCTCTCTCTCTCTCTCTCTCATAGTTTGTCATTTATTTTGTCCTTGAAAACTTTTGTTTAGTCTTTGGGACTGAGAACTCATTATTTTCTAAAATAAAAAAACTGAACTCTGTACATTAAAGGAATAGTTTACCCAACAATACTAATTCTGTCATTTACATCGCGTTCCTCAAATCCTGTATCACTTCCGTGTAAAAAAATAAATAAATAGTAAAATGTATTTGAAATACATGTAACTGAACTTGGACAAAGTCACCTCTGATAACAGATCACTGTAAACTCATGGACTTTTCTGTAACGCTGCTTTGAACCGATATGCATTATACAAATAAATGTGAATTGAACATAAATAAAATAATATAAATACAATAATAATAATGATGGATGAATACAATAATGAATATACTTTTGTTTAACTAAATTGATATACTTAAAGTCTGCTAAATTACAAGAACTATTTTTTTTTATATGCAAAAGTAGAGCGGAGGACTGGGCTAAAGTGGGACTATACTTCAGTTACACTTTAAACATCTTGCATTTAAAGATTGATATTATACACAGATAATGCAATCAATTTTAATACTGAGATTAATACATATTTTAGCCATTAAGAAATGTTCCTTGTGCAATAAAGAAATACTCCAAATAAAGTTTAATTATAATTTCATATTAGTAGTCTTATGTGATATATGAATAAATGGATTTGAAGTATACTTACATATGTATTTTAAATAGATTTTGGTATAGTTTTTTTTATAACAACTATTGACCAATTAAATGGACAAAAAAACAACTTTTGACAGAATGTTCATTCTGGTGAACCTTGTCTTGTGCAATAATGAAGTGCTTACTTAAACGTTAAGGAGTCATTCATTTCTCAGATCAATCAAGATCGCCTAAAAGTGCTGACTGGTGAATTATTGTGAACGCTTTTGTAAGCAATAATAATCTTTATTAACTCTCTTTCGATCTTCTCTTAGCTTCAATTCTGTCTGGAAAGGTGTGTTGAAACCTGCTCCTAGTCCCGAGGGCATATGTTCTGCAGATCGTATCTCCATCTTCCCCCTGTCAGGATGTTTATGTGATGTTGAATATGTAGTTTATCTGGTTCAGGAGTGACTGTGGCCATAGTTGGACTCTGGAGTTGAGTTATAGTAGTGATTGATGGTTAG